TATATCGTTAATTGAAAACCCCCTTTAAATTTCTATGGTTACCAATGTGGTGTAGTTCCACTGAAATATGGTTCGATTTTATTTTATTTAAAATTCTGGGGAAAAACCGGACACAAGTTTTCTCACGCGATAATATGATATACGACCCATAACCCGGTGATTTGTCGGTCAATTCACGTGATTATTTTTGTATGGGAGAAAAAAAAAATTTATTAGTGCGCTAGTACCGGATCCGAAGGTAAAAAAAAAACAGGAGATTAATACAACGAAATGCAAAAAATATGATTATTTGCCCGGTTAAAAAATCCCCGGGGGGGAAGGAACGCATTAAAAAAAAAAAAGAAAAGGCTGAATATTTTTTAGTGTAGCAGGACTCAATGTATGTAGTAGTAGTCATTTAGAAATACCGGGAATTAAAAGACAAAGAGCAGTCATTTTATTTTCGGTTAAATTGATTTAAATTAATTCTCATTTGCCATTTGCCATTTGCCATTTTATTTATTTTTAATTGATTGCTTTCTCCTTATTCAAACCAATCAGATTTATTCTGTCTGTCTGATTTTTATTTCATTCATTTCCTTTAAAGCAAGTAGTATACAAAGTCTAATTAAACCCAACCAGGGGCTACTACTTATTACTCCAAATAAGATTTTAGTTTTGTTACAAACTAAAGACCGGAAGACAAAAAAAATAATTTATCAGACATTTAAACTTAAAGCAAAAAAAAATTTTCCTTTGTGTAAACAAGGAGAGAAACGGAAAGGTAGAAGAGATTTTTTTTACAACCATCAACAACAACAGACTAACTGTATAGGCTTACAAGAGAGGATAAGAGGACTATATCCAATAACAGGAGGACAAGATATAGAACGTGTGTAAAAGCATCTGCAAACTGATATATAGAGTAAGCATCAGACACAAGCAAGATGTCTTTTAAAGTAAATTGGAATTCATTAGAAACTGAATCTTTAACATCATGGACTAAAGATATCTTAACTAGTGCATTAAATTCAGGTAAAACACCTCCAATATTAGCATCAAGTATTTCAATTAAGGATTTAAATTTTGGTAAAATTGCTCCTGATTTTGAAATATTAGAAATTGGAGAATTAGATCGAGATCGATTTAGAGGAATATTTAAAGTAAATTATAATGGAGATTTTCATTTAACATTACATACAAATGTTCAAGCAAATCCTTTAAATATTTATTATTCAAATTCAATTGAAACTGAAATTCAAGATTCAAATTTTATAACTCCAAGATTTTTATTATCAAATGAACAATTTGCTTTACCATTAGATTTAAAATTAAGTGATATTAAAATAAGTGGAATTGGAATAATTGTATTTTCAAAATCAAAGGGGTTAACTTTAGTTTTTAGAAATGATCCTTTAGATTCAATTAAAGTTAGTTCAACATTTGATACTGTTCAAGTATTGGCCAATTTTTTACAAAAACAAATTGAAAATCAAATTAGAGATTTATTTAGAGAAACTTTACCAACGTTAATGCATCAATTATCATTGAAATATCTTAGTCTTGATAATAATATAAATGAATTAAGATCAAAATTAACCAGTCTTTCATCAACAACTACAACATCAACAACAACATCAACTTCATCATTAAAATCATTAGATGATGAACAAGAAATTTCATTAATTTATTCAAGTAAGAATTTACAAAAAAATTTACAATTATTTAATTCAAGAGAAACTATGAAATTACATATTCCAAAATTAAAAAATGTAATTCAAAGAACTCATTTAGATAAATTTAATAAAAATTATCCAAATTTATTAAGTTTATTATATCAAAATAATCATAGTGAGTTTGAAAAGTATACTCATCATCATCCTATTCCAGGAAGTCCAGGTTCCAGTGGAAATACTACAAGTAATGGTGGTAATGGTACTACAAATGGTATTCCAATTGAAATATTATTAAATAATAAGAACTATTCCAAAACTGATGAAATATTAAAACAAATATCTTCAATTCAATGTAATAGTTTTTATAAATGTAATAATAATAAAGATACTCCAGTTAAACCAAAAAGGAGAACAATCAAATTGGGTAAGAAGAAGAATAATAACAAGAAGAAGACAACACCAGCACCTACAACACCTGTCACAACAATTCCAGAACTTAATACTGATATTGATTTAACACCAATCACAAAAGAACCAATATTAATTTCAAAATCACTTCCAATAACAGCCACGACATCTCTCGATACAAATAATACATTGGTCACTCCAGCAGCTGTAGCCACCGCCTTATCCCATAGTATTTCCCTTTCAACCACCTCCAACAAAGAACCTTCAATTGACTTAGCCCCACCCGTCAAACAAAAAATCATCATTCAACCAACACCAACTCGCACCACCACTAAAGAATCAATCGAACATGCCCGTAATCTCTATCAAGAATTCATCAGACTGACAAATTCCCCAGGATTATATGATAATAAGATCCTCCTAACAACAACTGCATCAGCCGGAGGCGTTGGACTTGGAAATAATAATTATTTCTATTATCCCCCAATCTCGACTTCTCCAATTAAAGATGCTTCATACCAGAGGAAGAAATCGATTAATCATGTGACGTTTAATAAGGTGAGTCAAAAATTGGAGGAATTGCATGGGTTTGATCAACAGGGAAATGGTGGGTTGTTGTTAGAAAGTTTTGGAAATGGAGTTGGGGGTGGGAATGGGGTTGTGCCTCCTCCTCCTCCATATTATCAACATATGTAGGAATGGAGATCAGGAAAGATGTGAGAGATGGAGAGATGGATGGATGGATGGGTATTTTATTTATTTTGTAATTATAATAATAATAATGGTAAGAAACGGTCTAATGTTTTTTTGTAATGAGAATTAATTTTAATTCATTGTATGTATATATTTTTTAAATCAATATGAAACGGTTATTATTTATAATCAATTGTCTTCTGCAACGTAAATTGTAAAGAGTTCTTATAGCTAGATGAGTGGTTGGAAGTAGTGAGTGAAGAATGGTACTACCCATTGATAAGTTTTCTGACAATACCGTAGACGGATTCAGTCATCATCGCAACGTCCAAACGGTATCAACGGTTACGAGACGGTTGTCTAAATTAATGGCTTGAGAATCTAATAAAACAGGCTCGCAGATGAAGCGGCCAAGGTCGAAAGCGAGAATCCATGTGGGAGGAGTTTTAGTGATGAGTGTAGTGTGGACGTACAGTAAATCGGCACTCACAAATTGGTTAGTTCAATGATAGTTCAATGACTATCTGATTCTTGGTTTAAAGAATAGGCTACGCCATTATTTCCACTTGCATGACTTGTACATTGCTTTTATTGATTTATTCTTAGAATATAAAACCTACCAAGCTCTTAAAGGAGTACCTCCCGCCTGTTCAATAAGGCTTTGGTAATAATATTTCACCACCTGGTAGCTCCCCGTAAGGAGGCGTTAAAAGGCTTTTTGTTACCATTTGATACGCGTGAAAATAAAAAGTTAGGCTCAGTCAGTTGTTAAGTATTGAAGAATGGATGTAATCCGTTGATCCCTCTTTCCTTTTATTTTGCTATTTTTAGTTTCATTAAATAAAATTTTTTATTTTATTTTATTTTCTTCATTCATTTTGAAACACACACACATAAAGAATTTTTTATACTTTTACACTGTTAAGTAAAATTATCATCATCACATTTACTTACTTATTTTCGAGAGATAAGCAGACTTTTAATCTGTAATTTATAAACTTCTACTTGGTACACTACTACTACTACTACATAGTACATACTTCATACCCACTACATATACTACTACACACCCACAGAAATGACATTTGGATCATTTGATGAAATTTGTAACCTGACGGCATTACCATTATGTTCAGTATTAGGAGCAGTTAATGAAACCTCAGTATTTCAACGAGGTATAGTACCCCAATGTTATGCCCGTTCAGTTGAATTAGCCAATACGATGATTTTTCAAATTGGAAATGCTTTTGTTCATTTCGGGGGTTTAATAATTTTATTAATTATTATATTTAATGTTAGAGCCAAATATACTGCTATTGGAAGATCAGAAATGTTATTTTTGATGTATTTAATGATTGGATTATTGGTGTCTAGTTTAATTGTTGATTGTGGTGTTTCTCCTCCACTGAGTTCTTCATATGCTTATTTTGTTTCGGTTCAATTAGGGATTTCAAGTGCATGTTGTATTGGGTTATTATATAATGGATTAACTTGTTTTCAAATGTGGGAAGATGGGACTAGAAGATCAATGTGGACAATGAGAATTCTTTGTTGTGCTTGGTTTATTGCTAATTTTATTATTAGTATTATCATTTTTAAAGGTTGGAATACTGCTTTAAATAATAGAACTACCATGCCATTATTTATTGTTACTTATATTATTAATGCTATTATATTGGCAAGTTATGTTGTATCACAAATCATATTGGTTGTATTTGCTTTAGATTCATATTGGCCATTGGGTGCTATTTTATTAGGAGTATTCTTTTTCGTGGCAGGACAAGTATTAACATATGTATTTGGAGATAAAATATGTAGTGGTACAGCTCATTATGTTGATGGTTTATTCTTTGGAAGTTTATGTAATGTTTTCACAATAATGATGATTTATAAATTTTGGGATATGATTACCACTGATGATTTAGAATTTTCGGTTGCAAATGTTGAACAAGGAGTTAATGAATTTGGTACTGGTGAAAATGATGAAAAGAGATCAAGTATGTTCTTTTAGAGGGGGAGGGACTGACTTGTGATATTTATATATAGGTTTATATGTGTATATACATACAGTACATGTATGTTTTTTTTTATTATTATAATAATAGATTGTATTTTGGTTTAACTCTATGATTAGTTTTAGTGAACTATTGCTAGTGTATGTAGAGAAATTTATATAGCGCAGTTAAAGACAACAGATAATTCCATTGTACTTGAGTATCTAGAGGATGATGTCATTTGTCATAGCTTTGTAAGAAAGATCTGGTGATAATCATAGGGTATGTAATTGTTTCCTAAATTAACTAATTAATGATGAATTATTAGATCTAAAAATTGTTGCAAAAAAATCAATACAAAAGTTAACTTTGGTGGAGCTGAATGTGAACCAAATTCATGTTTAACAATCAGGTATGAATAGTAATAAACAATACAAGTAAGAAGGAGATATATAGGTAGAGATGCTTCTAGTATGAAGTATTGCCCATTAATTACACATTCATATATAACCTTACATTATTTGTTAATTATCTCTCTCTCTATAATAAATTACTTTGCCCATTTTGTTGGTAAGATTTGAAAAAATTGATATCGTTACCACTTTTTAAATAGTAAGATTTGTTAACAATTTTTTGCATCTAATTACTGTATTAGATGATTTCTATATAATTAATTAAGAATCACTTTTAATTCATAGACAGATTTGGATTCTGGAAGAAGATGTTATCATCCATCCATCCATCCATCCATCTCTTTCCCTGTCTTTCTCTTTCTATCTATATACAATCTAAATTTAGCAATATAGAAAGAAGTCAATAGTCGTCTCGTCACTCCCATATTGTTAAAGTGGCTAAGTAATAAGATTATTTAATAACGCGACTTTAAAAAAAACTTTAACTTTAGTCATACAATTTAAAATAAATAAATCAATAAATCAATCAAATCTTTTTTTGGTGGTTCAATTGTACTGTACCTTAAAATTCTATAAATAAAAATAAAAATGACGAAATCAATTTTTAATTTTTCTATTTATTTCTCATTCTCATTTGATACCCATATTTGACAACGAACATCACATTAGATTTACCAATTTTTCAATCAGATCCATTTGCATATTAATCAAATCAATCAAATAGAAAGGAATAAGGAAAGAAGGAGCAAACAAGATGACACCTATGCCTGAATCAATAGAACCATCTGAAGCAAGTAAACTTTTAAATGAAGATCCTAAGATTCAACTGATCTTAAGTAGTGATACTGCTTTAGAAGTATTATTAACAAGATTAAAACAAAGTATAAATACCAGTGATGAATTTGCTAAATTCATTAAAAAGAAAGCTTTAGTTGAAGATGATCATTATACTCAATTAAAGAAATTTGCTTCAAATACAAGAAATATTATGAAATCAAATAAAAATTTAAAACAAGATTCATTACAAGATCAATTAGATAAAATTATTCAATTTGATGAAATCTTATATGGAGTTGGTAATTCATTTGTTCGAGCTTTAAATACTATGTATGATGAATTAATTGCTTTAATTGGTACTGTTAGTCGTTCTAGGAAATTAATTAAAGATGAAGGTAGACGTAAAGAAAAAGAATTTTTAGATTCAATTCAAGCAGCTGAAAAGGCAAAATTAAGATATGATCATTTATGTGAAGATTTGGAGAAACTTAAAACTTCTGATCCCAATAAGAAATCTTTTAGTCTTAAAAATAAATCTTTAGAACAACAAGAAGATGATTTACAAAGAAAAGTTGATCTGGCTGATCAAGATTATAAATCAAAAGTATCAACTTGTAAGAAATTAAAAGATGAAATTTTAATAATTCATAGACCAAATAATTCTAAAAAATTAAAGAATTTAATTTTGGAATTAGATATTGCTCTTAATGTTCAATTACAGAAATATGCAACTTGGAATGAAAATTTAATTATGAATTCAGGAGTATTAATTAGTCCATTACAATCAACAAAACCTTCAATGAAACAAATGGCAAGTTCAATTGATAATGAAAAAGATTTATATCAATATTTATTAAGATATGGTTCAAGTTCTGGTAGTAATAAGAATTTAACTACCGTGGAATATCAAGTTCATCCTTCTTTAATTAGAGCTCAACCTAATAAACCTTTTTTAAGTGGTAACAAATTAAATAATACAAAACCATTACCAAATAATAACTTTGGTAATAATAATAATAACACCAATACCGCGGCCGCCCATCAAAGAAGTGCTTCAAGTATTGCATTTGGTACAGGATCCAAGAGTAGTTACTCACCCACAGGTGTTGGTGCAGCGATAGGCGGTGCAGCTGCTGGCGTTGGCGCCGCCATGGGATCAGGTCATGCTCCTAGCAAATCATTCTCAATGGGAACACCTACATCACCCGAAGAAACAAAATCATATGCACCATATCCATCAAATGCCGATGACAGCCTTCCGGTAATACCATCTTCCGATGCACCAATACCACAAGAAGGAGCATATCAATCTTTGGACCCACTTAGAAGTGGAGATTTAAATGGACCTAAATCATTAAGTCCCGTTGCAGTCACCCAACCGACATTTGGAGTTTCGATTGAAGATGTGATTGAATTTGCCGGGGTGGATAATGTTCCACTTATAGTTCGGAAATGTATTGAAGTTATTGAAGCTTATGGATTAAATATTGTTGGGATTTATCGGACTAGTAGTAATTCAACCACAGTATCACAACTTAAACAATTAATTGATGAGAAATTTACGAATTATTTATTGATTGGGAAAGATATAAACCCTGACAATGTTTATGATTCTGAAATATTTGCCGTGGCTAGTTTATTAAAATTATATTTTGCTAGTTTACCTGAACCTTTATTCACTAATGAAATGGCTCCGGCATTTATTGATACGGTTAAAAGTACTGATGAAACTTATATTGCGAAAAAATTACATCATTTGGTATTTAGTTTACCGGATGGGGCATATTTTAGTTTAAGAGCTTTAATATTTCATTTAAATAATGTTGCTAAATATGAACGGGATAATAGAATGAATGCAAAAAGTTTATCAATAATTTGGGGACCCGTATTATTTAATGAATTAAGTTCAAATGTTCAAGATTTAAGTTATAAAAGTAAAGTAGTGGAAGAATTAATGGCAATTGCTAATGATATTTTTGAAACTGAAGATGAGTAGACATTGAGTTCCCGTTACATTTCCCGTTACATTCCCTTGTGATATATTTATACGTTGTTTTATTTCCATTTCTATTTAACATATATATTTGTATAATTTAATACATCATAAATTGTATTTTATCCTTTTTAGTAGATTCCTTCTTATCTGAACTGGAATTACCAGTATGAGATGAGTCTTCACTCTTATGTCCAATATTAAATCTAGGAGGTTTCGTCACTCGATGACTACCACTACTGCTACTGCCACTCCCACTAGTCCCACCATGACTTCCCAGTAAATTCTTTATCCTAAAACTACTTTTATAATCCTTCTCTTTCAAACTCTTCAACTTCGCTTCCATTTTCAATCTCTCTAACCTCAACCTCTCTTGTTCTTTTTGTTTGTCCCATTCTTCATCACTAATCCCCATTAATTTCCGTCTAATATCACATAATTCATCTCTTATCAATCCATGAAATTCAGGCGAATCAATAATCTTGTCTTGGATATCTTTATCCACTATTCCCAATAAACTATCCGCACTACTACTACTCTTACCACTCTCCCCACCACGACCACCACTCTCTCCATTCTTTTCATCAGTCTTCGGGGTGGATGTGTTTATGATCTCCCCCTGGATTAATGCTGCCATTTTCCCGCGGTTTTTCAACAAGATCTTGGGATCTTGTTTTACTTTTGATTCAACCATGTGTTTTAGTTTTAGGAGGAGATTGGCATGGGTTTGGGAGGTTTTGAAATTGGATAAGAGTTGTCGACGTTGGGTGTCGAATTTTCCTCCTTTTTTGTAGATTGTTGTTAGTTGTTTTGGATCGGTTGGGGTGGACGTGGGTGCGGCAGGCTTGGGAATGTCGTTGTCTTTCATTGTGAGTGGGTGTCTGGTATGTTTGGTTTATGAATGATGAATAGTTATAAAGGAATGGGATTTATTGATAATTGATATTTTTATTTTATTTTTTTCTGGCAATGGGATAAACTGAGATATCAAACTCAATTCTTGATTGCCATTACTTAATCATCAGAAGTAACAATCCCATCCAATCATATGTCAACTAACAATTTATTATACTTCAGCGATCAAAGCTCATCACCAACACCCCAACCACCACCTCCACCCAACAAAAGAATCCCATCCCATCTATCCACCAGATCATTCCGGTCATCAGACAGTCTAGATGACGACACCGATTCAATCTCCACCACCACAACAACTACATCCCACACCAAACGACATAGACCGAATGATCAACCCTCACACCCGACATATCCTGATAATATCCGTATCTTATTAGAACAAGCCCAAAAAACCGCATATGGTGCGGCGGAAGCTATTTTAACCAATGATGGCAAGTTAGGCCAATCTTTCCAAGGAACATATCGTGCCGTTGAACAATTATGTAGATTTAAACATGAACAAGTCTCCAAACTTGCTGATTATGTATTAGGTAAGGTCGAGAGTGAATTTCGCCATCTGATATTAGGAAAGATTAAGAATGAAGTCCCGTGGGAAAATGCTGATGATGTTAGACAAATTGTGGCGGGGTTTTTGGAAGTGTATGAGAATTGGGATGAGAGAGTACGGAAGTTGAGTAAAGTGTTTTTATATCTTGATAGGGGGTATTTATTTGGACATTGGTCAAAACCGACCATAATTGAATGTGCGACGGATAATTTCGTCAAATATGTCTTGGATGCGAATTATGTTAATGAAGAGGGTGATGAGGATGAGGTGGATGGAAATCCAAAGGAATTGTGTATTCGGACATTGGATGCTCATAATCGATTACTTAAACAATGTCGAGAGTTCCAGGATCCGGGGGATATTGAATTATGTCAACGATTTACGAAATTATTGAATAGGTTACATAAATCTCAAACACCAGCAAAATTCGATTTCCATACTCAATTATTGAACGAAATAATTGGACATTATGATCAATTGAAAGAAGATTGGATATGTGATAAAACGTATATTTCAAAAGTTTCTCAACAGATTATTTGGGAATGTCAATATTTTAAATCTTGTGGGAAATCAAATGAATTTTTGGGATTGTTGTATAAGAAATTACTTTGGCATTTATTATTTTATGATTTTAGTACGATTTTAAAAGAATCATTTGGATATTATTTATTAGAGAATGAAAATGTGGAGGAATTGAATAAGATTTATAAATATTGTGGAAAGACCAAGAGTTATTATTCATATGATTCGATTAATATATTTATTTTTGAATGGGGAGTGGCTACATTTACTGGATTTGAAAATATACTTGAAACATACAAGACTAAACCAGGACCATCATCGAGTGATTGTATAATAGCAATTGCTGAACTCTACAATCGATACAAAAAATCCGGTGATCTTATCCTGAATGGAAATGAAAAATTAGAATTCGAATTAAGAAACTCCCTATCAAAAGCCATCAATCTACCTAAATATAACATGTCAATAATCTTACAACTATGTAAATATTGTGATTCATATTTCAAAACCAAAAAACCATCTTCCTCCACCAGTTCATCATATGACACATTCATCACAAATGCCATGATTGTCTTCAAAGTCATAAACAACAAACAAGATTTCATGTTAGCTTACAAAAAAGACCTCTCGAGACGATTATTATTAAGTAGAACCCCCGACATCCCCCAGGAACAGAAATTAGCCCAAGAATTCATCAACCTAATTGGAGAAACTGATGATGATTCAATTGCGTTAAGAGTAATGTTTAGTGATTTGGAATTATCCCATAATTATGCCACCCAATTCAAACCCCCCATCACCAGTGGTATTCTATTCAATCCCGTGATTTTGGATCAGAAGTTCTGGCCCGAGATTCCGAAACAAGAAACCAAATTGGTCTTACCTGAAGAGTTGGCGGATATTTTGACGGGGTTTACAGAGGAATATAGGACAAATATGGGTGGGAGTCGATTTCAGAATCGGAAATTGGATTGGACAAATTATAAACTACATCAATTGAGTATAATTGGACATTTTGATTCTGGGGATAAAGAAATCACGGGGAATTTATTACAAGTACTGGTGATATTATTGTTTAATGAACGAAATTCATATTATTTCCAAGAGATATTGACTAGGACTGAAATTGAAGAGAAATTATTAAGAAGGGTTTTGGATAGTTTGATATCGGAGAAGTATCCATTATTGAAACATACTCCGGATGATGAATTTATATTCAATTCAAGGTTTGCTGATAAATCAACCAAGATAAAACTTCCAATGATTAAAGATAAGGCGGTGGCAGTAGCCGAGAAGCAACAAGAAGGAGATATTGTAGCATTAATTGAAAGAAATAGAATAGATGAATATAAGAGTATGATAATGAAATTGATGAAGCTGGCAAAACATATCAGAATGACTGATTTACTTACACTTTCAATTGAAGCATTGGAAAAGAGAAATCCTGTCACTATTCAAGATTTAAAAACAAGTATTGAATCTTTAATTGAAACTGAATATTTAAAACGGGAAGATAAAGATATGATCTCCTATATTGCGTAATCTTATATGATCTCCTATATTGCATGATTTTGATTAGTCAAACAAATTGTATATTATGTATGTATGTATGTAAAATATATGGGAAATGAATAGATATACAAGTAAATGAATAACTTAAAGTGGAATATCTTCTGGATCTGGATTATAAACCCAATGTTCACCAAAAT